AATATGTGAAACACAAAAATAAATCAATGTTTTCTGAGGATCCAGAATAACATGAATGATGTATCCCAGCGAGTGACTGGAAAAGTTCATCTTCTTCCACATCCTGAGTTTGTGAGGATGTTCCAGTATCTGTGAGAGAAAACAGGACAGTTTTTACTGACGCACAAATGGACCAAATATACAGACACCTCTGAATAAACATGTTCTCATCAATGCCATTAAAATACTGGCTCAACAGTTAATAACACATTTCTGAGGTTTGTGATTCATCGTCCTCCTCACTGTCAGCTCTACTGGAACAGTCACTGTTTAATATTAATGGCTCGTTGATCTGGACGTACAATAAGAAGTATTCAGTCACCAACAAGGTCGAAGTTTACTTCACAGTGATTGATGGAAAATATCCAACAAACTGATTTATTCAAGTATACAAATGATCTGGATGAATCTTGGACCTTCTGTAAAACAGAGAAACAATTTCACATCTTTGTAACGACTGTATTTATCTTCATCCCCAAACGTTGATCCTGTCCATCTGGACGCTGCACTGTACAGCAGACACTACGATGTTAGGTTTGTGTTTGGATGAACCAGTTTGTGTCTGAGTGTGTTGCTGGGTCTCCACCAGTTACTCTGAGAACTGAAGAAGCTTCTCTGATGAAACGTCTTCAAGAAACTCAAAGAAGTCCAGACGCTTTTCTCTCCAAGCTCCTCAGACTACTGACGCTTGTTTCTCTCTTTGTAAAATGAAATTTAAAGTGAATTTTGAATCAAATGTTTCTCTTCTTTCTCCCTCAGAGTGCAGACATGTCTGCTGCCAGCAATCTGCGATCTGAAGATCAGTTTCTGTGCTCCATCTGTCTGGATGTGTTCACTGATCCAGTCTCTACACCATGTGGACACAACTTCTGCAAAACCTGCATCAGTCAGCACTGGGACATGAATGTCATCTGTCAGTGTCCCATGTGTAAAGAGACTTTCTACACTCGACCTCAGCTGAGGGTCAACACCTTCATCTCTGAGATGGTTGCTCAGTTCAGACCTGAAGCTCAGCAGAAAGCCAGCAGCAGCAGCTCAGAGCAACAAGCTGCCAAACCAGGAGAAGTTCCCTGTGACGTCTGCACTGGAACCAGACTGAAGGCCCTGAAGTCCTGCCTGGTGTGTCAGACCTCCTACTGTCAGACTCACCTGGAGCCTCATCTGACAGTGAAACGTCTGAAAAGACATCAGCTGGTTGATGCTGTGGAGAACCTGGAAGGCAGGATGTGCATGAAGCACGATAAACTCCTGGAGCTGTTCTGTAAGACCGACCAGACATGTGTCTGCATGCTCTGCTCTGTTTTAGACCACAAGAACCACGAGTTTGTTCCTCTGAGAGAAGAATATGAAGGAAAGAAGGCAGAGCTGGAGAAGACAGAGGCTGAGATTCAGCAGATGATCCAGAAGAGACGACTGAAGATTCAGGAGATCACAGAGTCGGTGAAGATGAGTAAAGATGCTGCAGACAGACAGAAAGCAGAAGGTGTTCAGGTCCTCACGGCTCTGATGGAGTCTGTTGAGAGACACCTGAAGGAGCTCATGAAGGAGATCGAAGACAAACAGGAAGCTACAGAGAAACAGGCTGAAGGTCTCATCAAAGATCTGGAACAGGAAATCTCTGAGCTGATGGAGAGAAGCTCTGAGGTGGAGCAGCTCTCACGCTCTGAAGACCACCTCCACCTCCTCCAAAGCTTCTCCTCCCTGAAAGCTGCTCCACCCAGCAAGGACTGGACAGAGGTCAGAGTTCATCCACCATCATATGAGCGGACTGTGGGGAGAGCTGTGGCTCAGCTGGAGGAGACAGTCTGGAAACTCATGAAGAAGAAGCTGTTAGAGGCTGCAGAGCTGCAGAGGGTGCAGCAGCATGAGGTGGATGTGACTCTGGATCCTGATACAGCTCATCCTAAACTCATCCTGTCTGATGATGGAAAACAAGTTATCATAGTGATGTGAGAAGAAACTTCCAGACAACCCAGAGAGATTTTCTAGTGTGTTATGTTTTAGGAGAGCAGAGTTTCTCTTCAGGCAGATTTTACTTTGAGGTTCAGGTTAAAGGAAAGACTGAGTGGGATTTAGGAGTGTCCACAGAGTCGATCAACAGGAAGGGACGAATCACACTGAGTCCTCAGGATGGTTTCTGGACTGTAGTGCTGAGAAATGGAAATAAGTACATAGCATGTGCTTCCCCTTCAGTCCCCCTCTGTCTCCATCCTGGTCCTGAGAAGGTGGGGGTGTTTGTGGATTATGAGGAGGGTCTGGTCTCCTTTTATGATGTAGGTGCTGCAGCTCTGATCTACTCCTTTACTGGCTGCTCCTTCACTCACAGACTCCACCCATACTTCTGTCCCAGTTTGAATTATGGAGGTAAAAACTCTGCACCTCTGATCATCTGTCCTGTCAATCAAACTGATCAATGACTGATTTTATTGGATGAATGATTGATTTTTCTTGAAGGGAACAAATGAACACATTGAGTGTAAATCCTCTACAGTCTCCATGTTTCTATAGAATCTGATCATCAGGACTCTGATTCACACTTTGATTCTCATGGAGTTTGATTTGAACAGAAGAAAAGTTGAATCAGGAAATGTTCCCACTGATGGAGACTCGAGCTGAAGAGCAAATATCAGAGAACAAATGTCCAAAAGCTTCATTTCCAATAAAGTTTGTTCAATGCTTTGAGTGAATCCAGACTCATGTGTGGCTGTTATACGGAGCATCAGAGTCCAGCTGAGTTATGTTGGATACAAACTGCTTATTTTGGCTCTGTGAGGAGTTTTGTTCACTGAAAACTGATGAGACGGATAATATTCAAAGAACTCTGTAGAGATTCATGCATCCATGTTCTCCACCTGCAGGTGTGGAGGAGAAAGGTGGAGCACAGACTGCTGCATCCTTCCAGTCACATCATTTTGATGATTATATTTGCATGTTGTGATGATTTGGGTTAAAGACAAACAGAGTTGAACGGCTGCAGTCACAGCATGAAGACGATGCTGAAGCTGAGCTGTCAGTGAACATGTTTCACTGTGATTTGATTTGAAGAATAGAAAGTGTGTGTGGCTGCTGACAGCTGCAGTCTCTGCTAGTCTGCATAACACACACACAACTTTCCCCCTGAGGCAACGATGCAGCAACAACACAACAGCTGCAGACACACACACGATTGTGCGCTCCCTTTCAGTCTGAACTCTCAAACAAACAAACTCTATCAATGTCGTACTGTTAAAGAACTCCTCCTTCTTCAGTAACAATGATTTGAGGTCTCTACCAGTGTCTCTTGTTTTGACCTTTGACCTCTTTATTCCTTATAACCAAAAAAACCCTTTTATCTGATATTTTCACCTTATTGATTGATTATATATATCTATTATATTTTCTCACCTTATTTTGACCTTTGACCTATGTCCTTGTTGGCCTTGATCTTCCTTCATCAAACGTGAAATTTCTTTCACCTTTGAACTTAAAGCTTAAATCAAACCTTTGTTAAAAAGCTTCTTACCAACTTGTAATTCCAACTCTCTGCATTAAACACGTATCTTATCATATAAACACTGGATCACTGAGAGAACTTTAGGCAGAACCAAATGAAGCAGCTGACCTCGTCAAACTCACAGCGACAGTAACTGACAGTGAATTATTTTAATCTTCTTCATTGTATTTGTTAGAAACATTTATTTTCCTTTAATTGGACTTTGGTTAAGTTCAATCCGATGTATTAACCGACCTTTGAGGTGAAGTGCAGCTGCGAAGAACGCTACGGCAGGCAATGAGGTGCGTTTAATGTCGCTCTGTTAATTTGAGCGTCCATAAATTGAATGTCTTATTTTTTCTTACTTTATTATTGCTAATTTATTGGAGAATTAGGCCATTTAATTAAGATAGATTTTATGTTGTTGGTGGTAAAGATCTGGATGGATGTTTTATTCTGTGTTTCTATTTTTCAGTTTTACTTTTCAAGACTTGGTGAATTGCCTTTTTCTACTTTTTGTTTAGTTTTGTTAAAATTAGCAGCAGTGAGAAGTGTTGTTGTCGGTCTTGAATATATTTGATGTAGCCCACACTGTTAAGGTAAGTGTCATGTTTTTAGTTGTTAGTCTGATGAAGAATCTTTTATTTTTCTCCAAAAGTTGATTGTGTTTATCTGGACATAGTGTTTTTCAGGTCCAGCTGAATGCAGGTTTCCCCAGTCTTATACGTTGTGACAGCCACTATGGTGTGGTGTCCCTTTAAGACACCCAAGTCGAGGGTTGATGGTGTCATCAGTTTGTGCCGCTGCTCTCTCTCTGGGATTATGAGGACACGTGCCTGCACGCTTCTGCTTAACGAGGGACGGATTTATGTTTTCTTCTTGTTTTGTTTGCAACGCTTGGGTTGTATGAACGCTGGGCGTTATGTTGTTGAGCCGCAGCCGTTCAGCCGGGCTTTTATATGGTTGTTGAAGAAGGCGTATTAAAGAACCACCGTGGATTACCGATACCAGCGTGGGTGTGTGTTCTTCCGACTAGCCTGCTAGGTGTTTTGCCGCCTCCTCTCAACCACGCAACACAACCCAACGTTCCAACGTGTCAGGAGCATCAGCACAGCTGAAATGCATTTTTTCTAAGCACCGCGTCTCTGTGGCTTTTAAACCCCAAAACACGCTACAACAAAAATGGGTCCACCCCAAGGATGGGGTCCCCCGGTGTAGTTTCCACTGTGAGAGACTGTGGGCTTCCTCAGAGTGAGGCTGAGAGCGGCAGGCCCAGCTGGAGTCTGACCTGTGGCCCTTCAGATAAAGCTGAAAAAGGCCAATATATGATATTAAATATAAAATATAATTAAAAAACAACATCAGAATGAACAACGAGCTGCTGTTAAGAACTCCCGACGTCCATCCAAGGCCCGATTGGTTTCTGTTTCCATGACAACAACAACCGTATGTGGAAAAGACCAAAAACTGAAGCGGTGAAAAAGTTTTGTTGCAGATTAACTATTAACTTTATGTTATTCATTGTCAGCTCGTGCCATCATTAAAGCATGTTAGAACACACATGTAGGATTTCACGAATCATCGCTCCTACATTTAATCGTATCCATAACAACTGTGTGTACGTGTTCGCTTTGAAAACATCACGTTCTTTATGTTGGTTGGTTTAGACGAGTGATCTCCAGGATGAATGAGGGCAGAGGCCCGTTTCATGGAGACTGTTTAAGTGTAAACCTGGATTAAAAGCCACATTTGAACACCTTCATCAGAGGCTGTGACCATGTTGAAGGACTGATGCTGACGTGCTCTGACACTCATTAGCATAGAAAACAAAGTGGTGAAAGCACAGAGCCCTGAGGAGCTCCACTGGACGGTCTGTTCACAGAACATTTAATTATTTCACTTTTATTTACATGCAAAACAGCCTCAGAGAGAACAGCTGTTTCAGAGCTGCCAGCTTTATTGGAAAGATGAACTGAAATCCTAAAATAGTCCAATTCATGACAAACTGACACGGTGAAATGTTGCAGGATTCAAATGTGTCGATGGATGAACTCTTTCAGTATAAGATGCAATAATACAAAACACATGAAGGTGAGGAGGAATTCATTTAAAGTAAGTGTGATTTAAAGAGGACTGATTCTTTCCTGGTCAGGCTGAAGCTTTCACCGTCTGACCTCTGTAAACAAACCGAAACACGTTCAGTGTTTAGTTTTACCAATTAGGTTTCATGAATCACCATCTGAGAACGTCTCCGATGTGGGCGCCACTCACAGGGATCACTTCCTGTAGAAGGGTCACATGACCTGTTAAACCCAGAGAGCTTCGTGTGACCTCTGACCCTGATCACCAGCGTCAGGGTCAGTGAAGGTGAGATACCGTGTGACAGGAGGAGGAACTATAAAGTTTTATTTGTACGAACACGTAGAACAGATGAAGTCAGAACGAAGCAGGTGGAGCTCAGTCAGGGTGGAGGTGCAGACAGGTGAGTTGAAGGGGAGGAGCCAGTCTGGTCAGGAACTCTCTGTCTCCTCGAGTGAACCTCCTCACCTCTGAAACACACACGACTCTGAAGGTTGCAGTCATGTTGGGTCAGGGTGGTGAGGGTGGGGTTACCTTCTGGTCTCTGGTTGGTGTGTTTCCTGCAGGTGAGGCTGAGCGGCCGAATCATGACATCACTGCTGCACAGACACAACAGGAAGTGGAGGAGGAAGTCGTCAGCGTCCTCGTCACACACCTGAGACAGACACAGAGGTTATGTCTCTGCAGACTCACGGCTCGGCCCTGTGGAAACGTCCTGCAGGACGCCTGTTTCTCTCTGTGGTGGCCCCCCCACAGCGTCCCCACCGTGCTTCACTGTGTGGACGCTGTTCTTTGGGTTGTAGCTGCATCTTCTTCTCGTTTCACCTCCTCTGACCACAGGACGTTTCAGTCTTTTAACACAGCTCCACCTGTGGGTGGAGGGGCCCTGTGGGTTCTCCTGGTGTGACCCGAGTCCTAAATGCCTCTCGCTGTCCTGCCCCTCCCCTGTGGTCTCCACCCTCCATGTGGGAGGTGTGGCATTCACAGTCAGCCCTGATTACCCTCAGAACTACACCACCTGCTGCTTCATCAGGTCGAGTGGGTGGAGTCAGGGGCACGACCTGAGTCTCACTGAAACACACGGCTGTAAGGCCCCTCCCTCCTGTTCACGTGAGCCCAGCGTGGGTCCGTCACACCTACAGACCTTTAAAGGTGGAAGTCGCCACGCCCCCAAACCAGTTCGGCAGTAAAGTGTGAGCAGACGGAGCTGTTACCAGGATGTAAACAGGATGTGCCCTTTCACAGTTAAAGCCTCATCTTAAATTTTTAAAGATAAAATAAAGTTTAAAGACGACGATGAGCACGTGACTCACCTGTGACAGGTAAACATATACACCTGACAGGTGCTACTGACCTGGCTCTGCCCACGAGGGAAGACTCTGATGTGACCTCTGACCCTGAGAGCTCTCTGAAGCCCCTCCCACTGAGCATCAGCCAATCCCAGCAGAGCACGAACCAGAGCAGCTGAGAAGCAGACGTGAGCCTCACCTGTCCCGTCATCGATCACCAGCCTGATCGAAGAGCAGAGCCACATGGTTTGATCATGTGACTGTCACCTGACTCATCCAGGTGATTAACACGTATCAGCAGGTGAGCTCAACAGGAAGCTGCTCTTACTTTGCTTTGGACTGAAACACTGACGAGGTCGAGTGACACTGAGAGCTGCTGCAGCCCTGAGAGAGAGAGAGCAACAGGTAAACACACACACCTGAAATCGTGAGCAGTTTCCTCCAAAACGACACTTTACTTACTGCACCAACACTAACACGCCACCAACACGCTAACAACACATGAAGCACTCTGAGTACTTTCACTGCACCCGAGAAACTGACACTAAACACATCCTGTACACACTGTGTGTATTTTATGCAGTACCTGTGTGTACACGCTGCCACACAGCGAGCAGCTCCACTGCAGTTGCAGGAACAGGAAACACATCACGTGACCTTTGACCTGTCCCACAGCGCACCTCTGCTTGCTGCTCAGAGCCCACTCACCCAGGTGCATGATGGGAGCAGGAGGAGGAGGCTGGGCCGAGCTGATAGAAACCAAACAAACAAATAAACAACAGCACGACAAACACGTGAACCAGACTTTACCTGTAAACTTACCTGGTGTCTCCCAGGGAGACCACAGTTATGGAGCTGACAGGTAAGTACGTGCAGTACACACTTCCTGTCCTGAAACACACACACAGGTAAACCGCACAGGTACGTAACCATGGGCGTGACTTTGTATTGAACATTGGGGGGTCAAGATCTCTGTCTAAATAAATAAATCTGGGTACATTTCCAGATGATCAAACAACTATTTTGCTGGTAACACCTGAAACGAGTAAAGAAAACCAGCAGCCTATTAATGCAAGATGATCCAGAACTTTATTGGGGCTGACATTGTTGGAAATGAGTCCAAATAAAGAGTCCAAACTTTTATAAGCCTGTCTATGTGTGTCTCACCTGGACAGCCTCCTCTGGAAACCAGACAACAGCTGAGTGTTACCCGGCAACAGGCCAGGTGGGTAGGGGGTGTGGCTTAAGTCCAGGTACACCTGCAGACTCCTCCCAGCTTGGTCACAAAGAGTGAGACGCACACCTGCACACACACATTGAGCTAACAGTCAGAACTGAGACTCAGACCTGAAGCACTGATGCCTGCAGTTCCTCTAGTGTCCAGCAGAGGCAGCAGTGAGTCGCCCCCATAGACCCCCATGTTACAACTTCACAGCAGAAAAGCCTGATACACAAACCACCTGTGTGTTTGTACCTGAGTGTGTGTGTCCAGAGTGGGCGGTCCTGTTGTTCACACTGATCCTTTCAGACACCACACCCTGAAAACACACCAGCTCTGAGCTGAAACACACACACACACACACACACACACACACACACACACACACACACACACACGCACACTAGTAAGAGTTTAAAGCAGTCTACAGCTGCAGTTCTTCAGATGGCCACAGGGGGCGACTCATTGAGGGACGAGCAGTTTACCTGCAGTCTAAGACCTCTGAGACGGACAAGACTGTGGGTGGGACGGCCTGAAAACACAGAGAAGAGACATTAAAAATATGACGTCATTCTGGGGTAAAACCACAAAGGATTGTGGGAACGAGTGGCAAGCGGTACTAGCGCACGCAGGCTTTCACACGTAAACAGTTACAACAATAAAAACAAACACAAAAATGGCAAGAAGCTGTTGTATTATTAACTGTGTTGTATTATTAAGTCTTCTGTTGTAGTTACTACGTAATTTATCATAACATGATTGATGATGTAGGTTACAAATAAGTCTTATATTGATTTGAATTGAATTCGTTGCTATGCTGCTTTGTTCACTGTGGCTTTGCGGGCTAATGTTTGTTGTGTTTTGTAGGAAAACCAGAAACAAAATGCAGGAATGTGATCCAGACTGGGCGCCTCTATCAGCCTGGGTCACACTGAGTTTAAAGCTGCTACCACAGCCAGATCTGATTGGTTAAGAGAGAGAGCGATATCGAAACAGCCACGAAACGTCTGCATATATGTGCCCAAGGGTTGTACTGAAGCAAGCAAGTGATGAATAACTGTTTTCCAGTTTGTTGTTAGCAATGTTTTTTTTCTTTGCATTGTTGATTTGTTTTTCAGGAAGCAGCTAATAATGATGGATTTTTACAATGTTGCCTCTTTCTTGTAAGATTCTATAATAGAATGAAACAATGATGCCAGTTAGAAATAAAGACAATAAATTGAATGAATTACGAAACACTCATTGTTTTTCTATTAGATCTGAAAATGTTGTGTTGTGGCGGACCACCAGGTGGCTCCACTCACATCCAAGTTGAACGGAAGTGTTGGGGTGGAGATTTTGGCGCTCAATATATGTGAAGTTCTGAGAGTCAAATAAAAAAGTTGTTGGAGTGAGACACAGAGACCTCTCCTGTCGTTATCACATACCTCCACATTGGTGACCCCTGTAGCGAACATGCTAAGGCTCGACGACGAAGCCAGCTCCGGCCTGGAAGCATCGGCTGCCGCTGGACTTTCACCTCCACCGATGGCTGCGTTTGCTGTGGCGCTTAAATTGCCGGATTTTTGGCTTCACGATCCTCCTTCATGGTTCGTGCACGTAGAAGCTCAGTTTGCTCTTCGTGGAGTTTCAGCCGACGATACTAAATACCACCATGTGGTGGCCTCACTTGACCCGCTGTCAACCCGCCGCGTGATGACTCTCCTCCGGGACCCCCAGCCCAAGGCAAGTACGCCGCCCTCAAGGCGCTGCTGCTGCGGCGTTACTCCCTCTCTGATGCTGAGCGGGCCGAGAAACTCCTTTCCCTCGCGGGCCTGGGCGACGGCACCGCTCTCGAGCTCATGGAGAGCATGCTGTCCTTGCTGGGCGCGGATGACGGAGGATTTCTCTTCACCCACCTCTTTCTCCGACAGCTGCCGGCTCCAGTGTGCGCTGGCCTTGCCAACTCCCCGCTATTGGCCACGAAGGATTACCGCTCCCTTGCGGAAGAGGCGGATCGCATCCTCCTGGCTACCAGGACTTTCGGCGTCCAGGCGATTGTTCAGGACTCACCAGCATTTTCCCCCGCCCCCTCACCGATGCTCCAGGGGCCCTCCGACTCGTCCACAGTGGCCGGAATCGCTGCACGGCGGCACCGCGGAAAAGGGCTTTGTTTTTATCACCAGCGTTTTGGAGCGAAGGCACGGCGCTGTCTCCCGCCTTGCAGTTTCCAGACCCAGGGAAACGGGCATGTCAGCGCTCTGTAGCAGCCGCGACCGCTGGCAACAAGGAAAGGCTGCTTTTCTTAGAGGACTCACGCTCGGGGAGGCGTTTCCTGGTGGACTCCGGCTCACAGAAGAGCCTTCTTCCCCCGGCTGGCTCGGACAGGCTAGCTGAGGGCTGCGGGCCATTGCTAACAGCGGCTAATGGCTCTCCCATCAAAACCTTCGGTGAAATGTTGGTGACTGTTTGCTTTCACGACCGTGACTTTCAGTGGAACTTTGTTGTTGCTGCTAGCTCTGTGCCTATAATAGGCGCTGATTTTCTTTGTGCTCACAGACTGCTGGTTGATGTTGCTAACAGACGTTTAATTGATGCTGTGTCATTTTCCTCATTACCCTGTTTGACTCGGGGTGCTCAGCCCGTGGTGCATGCTAACTCAGTAGATTCGGGTGATGTTTTTCAGTGTTTGCTTTCTGAGTTTCCCTCACTCTCTGTCCCCACTTTCTCGAGCACTGTGACGAAGCATGGGGTGGAGCATTACATAACTACAGTAGGGCCCCCGGTGTTCGCGCGCGCGCGCCGCCTCGACCCTACCAAACTGGCTGTCGCTCGGGAAGAATTTGCCACCATGGAGCGTCTGGGCATCGTGCAACGTTCGAACAGTGCCTGGGCTTCTCCGTTACACATGGTGCCTAAATCTGATGGTCGGTGGCGACCTTGTGGGGATTTCCGCCGTCTTAATAATGTCACAGAGAACGATCGTTATCCCATTCCCCACATCCAAGATTTTTCCGCCCATCTTGCGGGGACCTCGGTTTTTTCGAAGATCGATTTGGTACGGGGATATCACCAGGTTCCCGTGCGCGCGGAGGATGTCCCCAAAACCGCCGTAATTACACCTTTCGGCCTTTTCGAGTTTCTGCGCATGCCGTTTGGCCTGAAAGGTGCCGCCCAAACCTTCCAGCGGTTGATGGACTCGGTCTTGCGCGGGCTGCCCTTTGTTTTTGTATATCTTGATGATATACTGGTGGCCAGCAGCTCGAAGGAGCAGCACATGTTCCATCTGCGGCAGGTTTTTCAGCGTTTGGCGGAGCATGGACTGATTATTAATCCGTCTAAATACCAGTTTGGGTTGCCCGTTCTTGATTTTCTTGGGCACCGTATTTCCGCCGAGGGCGCGGTTCCGTTGCCTGACAAAGTCCGAGCTGTTTCGGATTTTCCGCGTCCCACGAATGTTAAGGCACTGCAGGAATTTTTGGGGATGGTGAATTTTTACAACCGTTTTCTCCCCAGAGCGGCACATCTGCTGAAGCCCCTTTATGGGGCGTTAAAAGGTAAAAAAGCTAATGACTCAGTTGACTGGTTTCCGGAAAGCATCCAAGCGTTTTCTGATGCTAAGTCAGCGTTAGCTAATGCTGCCCTTCTGGCCCACCCATCCCCCTCAGCGCCGATTGCGTTGACCACCGATGCGTCCGACATAGCGGTGGGTGCGGTGCTGGAACAACGAATCTCGGGTGTCTGGCAGCCCCTCGCCTTTTTCAGCCGTACGCTACGTGACAGCGAACGCAATTACAGCGTTTTTGACAGGGAGCTACTGGCGCTCCACCTGGCGACTCGTCATTTCCGTTTTTTTCTCGAGGGTCGTCACTTTACCGCATACGTGGACCACAAACCCTTGACATTTGCCATGTCTAAGGTTTCTGATCCATGGAGTGCACGCCAGCAGCGCCAGTTGGCAGCCATTTCTGAGTTTACCACAGACATTCGGCACGTGGCTGGTAAATCCAATCATGTGGCTGACTGTTTGTCCCGTGCGCTGGTTTCTCCCGTCTTTCTCGGCATAGACTACTCCGCCATGGCTGCCGATCAGAGCGGTGACCCGGACATCCTTGCGCTTAAATCCACCCAGACGGGCCTCATACTAGAGGACAGACCCGTGCAGGACGGTGGTCCCCTCCTCGTCTGTGACGTTTCCACCGGCCGCCCTCGCCCAGTGGTTCCCGCTTCCTGGCGTCATCAAGTTTTTGACTCGGTACATGCTCTCTCTCATCCAGGGGTCCGGGCCTCTGTTAAACTGGTCAGCTCTAAATTTGTTTGGCCAGGCCTTCGCAAATCTGTTAAGGAATGGGCGTCGGCGTGCATTCCCTGCCAGCGAGCGAAGGTTCATAAACACACCAAGGCGCCCCTGGAGCCGTTCTTCATACCCGGCAAACGTTTCGATCATGTGCATGTCGATCTGGTGGGTCCTCTGCCGCAGTCACAAGGTTTTACGCACCTTTTGACTGTTGTTGACCGGACCACCAGGTGGCCGGAGGCGGTTCCCCTGGCGTCCACTACCGCAGCAGTGGTGGCCAAGGCATTTTTGTCAAGCTGGGTCTCGCGTTTCGGCCCACCCGCGGACATTACGTCAGACAGAGGCCCCCAGTTCATATCCGAGCTTTGGTCGGCCATGGCTGATGGACTGGGGGCTAAAGTCCACCGCACAACCGCATACAACCCGCAAGCTAATGGGATGTGTGAACGGTTTCACCGGTCGCTTAAGGCTGCTTTTCGCGCCTCCTTAAAGGATGGCAATTGGGTTGACCGCCTCCCGTGGGTTTTGCTTGGGCTGCGCTCTGCGGTTAAGGAGGATCTCGGCGCTTCCCCAGCTGAGCTAGTGTTTGGTCAGCCCCTCCGCGTGCCTGGAGAATTCTTGCCCGAAAATCCTCCTCCCTGCTTCGATCCATCGGTGCTATCTCTCAACCCACTTTTGCACTCGCTTCGGGTTCCTGGTCCGGTGCACCATTGCGTGCCTGAAACCTTTGTTCCAAAGACTCTAGAGACTGCTAAGTTTGTTTTTGTCAGGCACGATGCCCACAGGACACCGCTGCGGCCGCTGTATGACGGCCCATTCAGGGTTATTGAACCGGGCCAGAAACATTTTGTTTTGGATTTTGGGGGTCGAAGGGAGACTGTGTGTGTTGACAGACTTAAACCTGCACATGTTCTTCCGGACAGTAATGTGGTGCCGGCCCAGGCCCCTCGCCGTGGCTGCCCTCCTTCGATGGGGTTGACAGACTCTGGTTTTCCCCCAGGACTACCCCCGGACCACCGGCGTTTGAGCCTCCTCCTGCCTTTCCTGCTCGCCTTCACCAGCCTCGTTCACAGGATGGACCTTCCTCTGCATGTTCTCTCCCTCCCAGGTTCAGTCGTTCGGGTCGTTTGCTTAGACCCAGGGTCCTGGACTGAATAGGGACCTAACTGTGTGTTCAGGGGGGGGTATGTGTGGCGGACCACCAGGTGGCTCCACTCACACCCAAGTTGAACGGAAGTGTTGGGGTGGAGATTTTGGCGCTCAATATATGTGAAGTTCTGAGAGTCAAATAAAAAAGTTGTTGGAGTGAGACACAGAGACCTCTCCTGTCGTTATCACATACCTCCACAGTGTAACACTACAACCTGAAACAACAAACAGATTGTGTTGGCCTGTACAGGAGATAAAATATTTAACAACAGCTAAATAAACGGTAAATGGCCTGTATTTGTATTCTTTACTTAGTCCCGAAGGACCCCAAAGTGCTGGAAATGCTAGCGCTTAATGCAGTGTTTTGATTTTGTTGCCACTTGTACCCACAATGCAATGCGTGAAAGTGACATGGTCTGTCAATCTCTATAAAAAAAGTTTAAGGGTCCTGGAGGAAGACGGGGAGCAAACCGAGTGTTACCTGTCTGCAGGTGGGCAGCAGCAGTGGGCGTGTCAGAGTGTGGAATCTCCAACCACGTCTGACTTGTAGGGTCGACTCAGCGTGGAGATCCACCCCACTGCGCTCAGAAACTCCACAGCCAATCAAAACACTGGGATCCTGATTGACAGACACATGGGCCAATCAGCTGCAAGGATTCAGGTCAGATCAACTCCCCACAAACAGGAATGGTGGGAGTCATCTGCATAGCAGTAAAAAGGTAAGCTGTGTTTTGATGATGCTGCCTAAGGGAAGCATGTATAATGTAAACAGAACTGGTCCAAGCACTGAACCCTGTGGAACTCCATAATTAACCTCAGTGTGTGAACAACTACAGTTAAAGCTGAAAAACGTGTTCATGTGTACTAATATCAGAGAGCAGAGACCGACCTCTGGCCACGCCCCTTAGTGACATCATCAAAGCTGGGTTGCTACCTGAGTGTTAGCGGCGATGAGTCTGTAGAAACATCCAGGCTGGAGGACAGGAAACCACCGCGTACACACACCTGAGAACACCAGCACCACCTGCACGCACACAGACACACACACGTAACTGTGTATCCAGGTGAGCTCAGGTAAACACACACAGGTGCGTCTCTCACCTTTCTCTCCTGCTTTTGTTCACTTTCTTTCTCTGTCATTGGCTCATTCTTCGGGTCCCGCCTCCAGCTGACCACTGGACCAATCACAGCAGCTTTCACTGAGAAGCACAGTCTCAGCCCTGCCTCCTGATCCTCTGCCTCCGCCCCTGTATTCCTCCAGGACACACCCTCCTCCTGCTCCACCCTGATCACCATGGAGACACAGGGCCAGGGGTTGCCGGAGTTGGCTTCTTCTTCTCCTCTTCTCCTCCTCTTACTCCCAGCAGTCTCTTCTTCTTCTTCTACTGTCTGCTTCCTGGCAGTGACATCCCCTCCTGGCTCCTTCCCCTTGTGTCTCAGGTGTGTCTCCATGGCAACAGATGGACTCAGGATGTGCAGGTGGTCCAGAGAGAACTGCAGGTAAACCCTGTGAATTGAACCCAGCTTTATTTAACTCATAATGTTTACAACCAGGAAGGAAGCTCACACCCTGAACCAATCAGACGCCCTCCTACATCACAGAGAGTGGACCAATGAGCAGTCAGCATGCTGCAGGTTGTGTGTGTGTGTACCTGCAGTGTTTGTGTGTGATGAACCTGTCCTGGTCCAGGTGTTGGTAGGAGGGGAAATCTGATTGGAGGAATCTCTCTGTCACCATGGTGAACTGCACCACACCCACCAGACAACCTGCAGCACAAACACACACACACACACATTAAAGAATAAAGCTGTGTGTCCCTGTGTGTGTGTCTGTGTGCGTGCATTGTACCGATCCAGGCGCTGTTAAAGACCGCCCTCTGCGCTCCCTCCTCCTCCTCGCTGCTCTCCGTCAGCACGCAGGCTGCAGCTCCCGCGGCGTCTCTGAGCTGCATCGAGTGTTTGAACTCAGACGTCTGTGACGGCAGCTCCAGCAGGCCGACCAGCAGCAGGGGGCGCTGCCTGACACACAAACCGGCAAAAACCATTGGTACGTAATCACATGACTTCATGTGGGAGCTGCTGTCACCTTACCTCACAGCGTCTCCACCCCGAGGCTCGGAGGACAGAGTTCTGCAAGACCAGGACAGGAACCCGTTGATCTGGGCGGAGGTCAGGTTGGAGCCATCAGGGGGCAGCAGAGAGCTCAGAGGGGCCGACGACCAGCAGCCAGTCTGCAGGGACTCCAGGAGCTCCGACACACCGAGGTACTGCCGGACCGCCGAGGACACGCTGTACTGCAGGGACACAGAGCACACTGAGCATGCTCCACACTCACCTGTAAGGAAGACAGGTGAGAGTGGGACCTACCTGCGTCACAGGACAGGTGTGAGGCTCGTCCAGCATCTCAGCGTAGATGTCTCTGCGTCCTCGTCCTCCAGCTCTGCTCAGAGTCTCCATCAGCCTCCAGGACAGCAAGCACACACACTGCTGCCTCCACACACCTTGGACCAGACTGAGGACCAAGACCAGAACCAGGACCAGGAAACAAGCCAGAGCCAGCGGAGGACAGGAGGACAAAGGTTAGGCTCTGCTGTCTCTGACTGTGGACAGGTGGTGGTGGGTGGAGCCTCACCTGTGTGCCAGCTGCGAGCTTAGGTGACAGGTCCACAGGTAATCGGACACATCTGTGTTTCTCTGCAGCAGTAACCGTGGTAACGCCCCATCTCCCGGGCAGCGGTTGTCGGGTGGCGAGCCTCCCGCCCTGCTGAAGGTCGTCACCCTCAGGCTGGAGCGCAGGCAGGTGCAAAGCATGCTGGGAGGGAAGTCCGGGCAGGGCCGATACAGGAAGTGGGCGTGATGCAACTGCAGGAGGAGGAACCATCAAACTTTATTAGTCGTGGCTGCCACGAACACAAACGGGCATGATGATGTCACATCATGTGACTCACCTCCACTCTGTCTCCCGCCCTCAGCTTCCTCTTCGCCGCCGGCTGATAGGCCACGCACAGACCCACCTTCCCATCCAGCACGTAGAGCCCCGCCCCCTCACTCACAACCTCAGTCACCGTGCCCTATCACAGCAGAGGAGGCTTAGTAATCAGCACACAGGTACAAACCTGTGGTAGCCAATCAGAGCTCACAGCACTCTCACCTGGTAGCTGATGACTTTGGATTGCTTTATCCTCACAGCTGATTGGTCCAGCTCCACCTCCTCATGCTCCGCCTCCTCACAGTCGTCCTCAGCAGGCTGTGACAGCAGGGACTCAGAGTGTGTGTGTTCCTGTGTGTGTTCCTGTGTGTGCGTGTAGTCGGCGTGCAGCTCGGAGCGCTTCGTCACACACAGGATGTTGTTTCCTCTCCAGCCTCGTAGCGCACACACACGTAGAGCTGTCACACACACGCTCTGCCCGACACACACACGCTGGATCCAGCTGAGCCGGCTGCTGTCCTGCACACACACACACACACTGAGCTTCATCGTCCCTCCTCACCATCATCATCCTCAGAGAGCTGGTACCTGTACGAGCACGGGCAGCGAGCGCGACTCATCCGTCAGCGTGAAGCAAAAGAAGGTCGTTCCTGCCACGGCCAGCAGAGGGCAGACTGAGCCCACCTCTCCGAACACGCTCAGCCGCTGACCTTTGACCCTGGAGCACACACACACACACATCTGTCACACACACTGCTCAGAAACTCCGCTGCAGTTCAGAGGTCATGTGACCCACCTGTGCCTCAGCAGCCTGCCGGCCTCTCCGACTCCCACCGCTCCGCTTAGCTCCACCCTTCCAGGAGCAGCAGCCAATCCCTGCTCAGCACCAGGACACAACAGGACAGGGGAGCCAATCAGCTCCAAGAAGCCTGCGGCCTCTTCCTGGCCCGATGCATTGTGGGGGATGTAGTTCCAGTGAGGGAGGAAAACAGGACGATCGAGCCACAGGGGCGAGAGAGACAGGCACTGGATGAGGGAGAGAGAGACGCGGGTGAGAGAGAGGCGGAGTGTGTCCTGGGTGGATGCTGGAAGCCTGTACTGATGATGACAGCTTCATCAGCTCTGATCTGCAGTGATGCCGTTTGTTTTATAGCTGCAGTAGATCAGATTAGATCAGATTAGATCAGATCAGATCAGATCAGATTAGATTAGATCAGATTAGATCAGATTAGATTAGATCAGATCTAATCTAATCTGATCTGATTAGATGAAACTTTATTGATCCCTCGGGTGCGTTCCTCCAGGAAATTCGGTTTCCAACAGCCCAGCACTGACAGAAGTTACAGAAGGTGAGCAGAAATATACACATATACAAATACAGAGTATAGAAAAGGGAAGAATAGAATAAATAGCAATAAGAACACAAGAGAATTGCACATTTCAAGTACTGTGAGTAGGCTGCTCAATTAATCGAATTTTAATCACGATTACGATGTGGCTTTCAACGATCATTAAAATGACTGAGCGATTATTAGCCCTCCCTCGTGCTTTACTCTCGCGCTGCTCCATGTGGTAAATCGAGCGCACCTCTCTGCATTCGAACACATGTCACAACAAAAAGAGGTACCAAACGACTCACGGACCGTACCGGTACCAGGCCCGGGGTGGGGACCGCTGATTAAGAGGACGAGGGAAGCTCGGAAAGCTCAGCAGAAGTTATTTGGAGAGGAGAGTGACTGCGTTGGTTGAAAAGAGGTAAAAACTTCAGTGGTGTGGAACATTATGGTTCAGTCAGACGTGGATCAAGTAGACACAGTGTGTAAACGTTGCTACAGTGTAGCTGCACCACAGAGCAACACTGCAAAGTTCACTAAACACAGATGTTTACATTTTTCATTCATTTTTATATTGCAAACATTTGCACTGTTATCAGTATTTGCACTATTTTATATTATTTTTTGACAAACTTTAAAGTCATTATTCAACACATTGTTATTGTTAAATAAATATCGTCAAATAATCGAGATCTCAATGTCAGTGAAAATAATCGTGATGATCATTTTTGCCATAATCGAGCAGCCCTAACTGTGAGTCATTAATCCGTGCGGTGACGCCAGGACCACACTGAGCCTGCTGCAGCTGTCTGACTGTAATCTGTCAGGTTACTGCAGGTGATGCTATCTGTATACTTTATGTGAGGAGGAGGCTCCACATCTTTATAAAGCTCTGCTGTCATCACGTCTGTGCCAGCACAGTTACTCACTTGCTGACAGACTCTGTCTTTACATCCTTACTTATCGATCAGCTAAGTGAATCCATATAAACACAGCTCACATTTAACAAGTCCTGATGTTTCTGAGTTACAGAAATGAAAGTCAGCTGTTGAGCTTGTTTGCTTGTTTCATGCTGATGTAAACATCAGCAGAGAAGCGTGTGATGACCAGACTCTATCAGCACTTGTGTCCCTGCACAGAGAATGAGCTGAATTAAAGAGGAATTCGATTTCATTCACGTTGCACATGAACACCTGCAGTTTGTTGTGACCTCGTTACCATCAGTTCTGACCAGATCCGGTTTAGTGACGCTGCTGTGAAGAAGCTCCTGAGAACTAACCAGCTGATGGACCATGGGTTAAGGTTAGGCTCCTCCCCCTCTGACTCACCTCACACATGACGCTGCCGCTGGCGTCCGTCAGCCTGTACTCTCCGTCAGGGCCTTCTCTCAGACAGCCAATCAGCAGCAGGTTGACCCTCGGCAGCGCCCTCTGACCCGGCACGGCGAGCTCCGCCTCCCTGGCCCAGGCTCTCTGCTGATTGGTGCTCCAGGACAGGTTGCTGACGCAGGCCAGGTGCTGCTGAGAGACGAGCTGGGAGACGGACAGCAGCCTGCGGACAGACGGGAGGACAGCGGTAAGGCCAGGTCACGTGACCTGCTACAGCGATGATGTCAGCGGGCGTTACCTGTAGCTGACAGGTAAGCTGTGGGCCACCCACATCTGCTGCTGGATCACCTGCACCGCACACATGCTCAGATCGAAGAGGCTGAGGTCACCGTGGTTACCTGGGAAAACAACATTTAAAGGGTAAACACAAACATAAACAACTGAAGCCCCGCCCACTGAGAACACCTGAAGTGGACACCAGAGCTGGTGTGTGTAGAATGTTTAGCTTATTTTAGAGTTTAGAAATGTGTTAAAATATAATGTAGAACTATTGTAGGGTACCCCTCCCCCACTTGAGCTGTGAAAGTAAAACAGAGAGGAGTTAATGCTGAGTGGAAATTCCCCAGAGGATGTGTGGGTGGGGGTCTCAACATTGTAACTGGATACCTGTGGTCTGGAAGTGAGAGGGCTTTTATGACCTCTAGGGAGTCACCTACACCCACAGTGTTTTAACGGTCACGCACACACATCCACACACACACTTATTCATGTGCACACGCTCACACATGAGCACTCATATAGGCACGCGGGAATGCGCACATGTAGGCATTCATGTGCTCGTGCACATAGACACAGACAGAGTTTGCAGCACACCGTGGGGGGGGGGGGGGGGGGGGGGGGGGTTATGATGGGGACGTTTCTATAAAGCTGGCTGTAACTAACAAAGGGGTGAAGATTTTGCAGAGGGACATCGGCCTCGTCTTCCCTTCTAGAAGTGCATGCTTAAATGAAGAAGAGTAAAGATGAATAACTACTGAGTCCGGTGCCATCTCTGGATGCTCGAGGAATAAAAAGAACTGGGGTAAAACTGATTTTGTGACATGTGTCAACAGGTGGGACCACCTGAGGAAGCAGCTGCTCTTCATCCTCAGACTCTTAGTCCTCCCTGTTCCTCACTGACAGTCGGTCACCTTCATGGCTCTGACCTTTGAACCACACTCACATCTACACACTGGACTGCTCTGATGGCACCTGTGAGGGCAGGTGAGCCCTGCTTTCACTTTTTAAATAATGGTTTAAATAGTATTTGGTTTCATAAAAGACATGGACATCGTCATTAAGGATTTAAAGTACAGCTGATTTATCAGCCAGCTGTTTCAAACAAACAGGAACTCACCTGTCTGCGAGGGGGCGGAGCTACACACCACAGGACTCAGGTGTTCAGAGATGGAGGTGAAGATGTTCTTTAACCACAGGGACTCCTAAAGAAACAAAGCAGCAGGTCGGAGGTCACAATAATAAATGTAGAACAGGCTCACATCCTTATATTCTCTTTTCTGTGTGGATTTCTGCTATAGAATTAGCTCGAAACAGCGATCGGCTGCTGCTCTGCCTTACGTCATGACGCAGACAGTCTACGTACGCAGGGCTGTGCGTGTACGTAGACTGTTATTTATCGCTCAGTTCGGGCAAACAGGGTCAGACTGGGACTCACCGCCTCGGTGCTGGGCTTGACCCGGTCCAGGAGCTCCTGCAGGGGGTCCATGTCTTCGCTCCGGGTGCCGGTTTCTCCCCCTGCTGACAAACTCCCGCTCACGGCTTTCAAACAGCTTCCGGTCCTCCTCCTGTTGATGTCCTCCCTCTGACCGTCGCCCCCGTGTTCCCGCCTCTTACCGTTCATAAAGCCGCCATGATGCCCTACCGTCCTACTTTGTTTACTTTTGTTCTGTATTTTAAACAAATCATCAAACTTATTAAACTGACTAGTCTCTGCTCACGCAGGATCTCTACTGCGCATGTGCGGAACAACTTTTCCCTACCCCGCATTTCACAATAAAAGCCCTTCACGTTCACATACACTCAGTGGTCTCCTACCTCCTTTCCTAAGCACTTTTCCTTGTTAGAAACGTTCTGAGGTGGAGGAAATGCGTTTAGGAGATGTGATAAGAACTCAGGAAAGGAAACAGCTGTGTTTGAACTACAAGTCGATCACGTGACTCCAGCCCAGCGTGTTCTCAGCCTGATTAGTGCAGGTGAAGAACATGCTTTTATTATGAAGGGGTCAGGCTTCCTGCTGAGGCTCAGGGTCATGTGACTGACAGCACCTTTTGAAGCTCACCTGACGCCACAAGGTGTTTCCTTTTCAGGAGGATGACACCGTGCGAACCTCGGGAATCTCCAACAAAAACACATTTCTGTCAAGTGGAAACTTTAAAATAAAATAAAATAATATCAAACTGAAGGTTTGTCACTGTTTTTTGTTCACTTTTTATCCAGGCTGCAGGTGTCTCAGTGGAAAAATAGAGCGTGGCTGAGCGCACCTGTGCAGACCAGTGATACAGTTTAAGATCAGAGAATTGTAACCCCCTCTTTCATATGGCAGGTACAACAAGCCAAGTCTTCATCTAGGACCTTTGTTAGTCCAAATGAATCAATTAAAGATATCGTTTAACTTCTGAAAGGATTCTTTTGGAGGAGGCAGAGGAAGTGACTCAATATAAAAACTCTGCATAACCTTTCATCCTTGTTCAGGAATAGGACGGAGGAGGATTTTGAATCATTTATAGCCAGAAAATCGTCTAAATAGCTCCATTTGTAGCATTAATTTTGCAACTTGGCTAACAGACAGCCTAGTCTAGGGCCTAGGGCCAATCTCTGCTCTCGATGTCCAAACTGGAAACCAAATAGTACAGCTCTCATTGTAAGTGTCATCACCAGAGGTTCCATAGTCAGAATAAATAGCATTGGAGATAACGGGCACCCCTGATGAGTGGAACGCTCCAATGTGACAGGGTTTAGAAACTATTGTTTGTTACAAAAGTTGAACCCATCTGAGAAAATGATTTCCAGATCCATATCTTGGGAGAAGGTTAAATAAATCTGACCAGTCTATTCTGTCCGAGGCCTGACGAGCGTCCAGTGATAATAAAGCTGCATCGTTAGCATCACATCTCTCATGAATTATATGAGAACCCTTCTTATATTGTGAAACCCTTGATGCTTTGGTACAAAGCGAATCAAATGTGGGATCCAAGGCTTTGATCTTCATGCTAAACATTTAAAGTATTTTAGTGTCAACCCCCGTCAGACTCTAAATGATGAGTATTCTGCAGGTTTAGCAGGTTTCTCAGTACTCACTGCCTGTCTCACAGTGGGTGGAGAGCCTCCGTGTGATATGCTTCTACATGCATGTTAAAAAGTGAAAAAAAAAGTAAAAAGTAAAAAAAATCCAACATGTCCAAATGAAGACTGTCAGATTTGATTTCAGCTCTTTTAAAGTGTCTTTATAAGTTAATTTAACTCTTATTGGAGAGTTGGAACGTTAACTCTGACTTAGTGTTGAATACCAAATCTGTCTGGAGTTGATCATTCAACACTTATTCATGCTAACTAGGTGTTAAGAGTTTATATACTAACCCCCACAGAGGATTTTAGTTTAACTACATCAGAGTTATCTTCTAATTCATTCTGTGAATTTTACTGTTCTGAATTTCTAGAAATTCCTTTGGAAATAAACATTATTGCAAAGAGGACTGCATCAGCTGAGGCAACATGGTGTCCTGTGAGCTCAATTTTCTTTTAATCAGAAAAAGTCAGACACAACAAAAGCCAAGCATCAAACAAAGGAAAAATAAAGACAAGTCAAATGTCCAGCCAAAGGATTTATGGGAGACTCCATCAGTGATGGATCGAGTCAACCGGCATTTCACCTCTGAGAAAGATATATAACAGAATAGCTTTAGTTTGAGTTTGAACTTATACAAAACGCAGCAATATATTAAAAAACACAGTTTTATTGATTATAAAATACACTCTATTGGAGTCATGTCGGTGTGGGCAGAAATCCAAATGTAGGATATGGGACATAAAACACGGTGCCATCTCTAGACTCCATAGTCCCACAGGAGCTCCTCTCCAACCGCGATGTCCCTCAGGGCGATGAACAGCACACTCTCCCGAGGACCAGCAGGGAAGTTCATGGTGAACCTTTGTGGCTTCACGTTTGGATTCCTTTGGCAATGGTTCATGTGCCTTCTATAGGAGTCCTTGTGCAGGTGGCAGGCACAGGGGGACGCAGTGGCATCAGCCCTGTGGCACTCGTCCCTGTAGAAGAAGAGAGACCCTGACTGCCGCCTCTGATTCCCTGCAGCTTTGGTGATGCACGTCCCATGGTAGTCGCAGACGACGTCTCCTTTGTTGAAGGGCATCAGGGCGATGACACCTGTGAGCAAACAGGAAGTCATCATAAGCTCTTTAGAAATGTTGACTTGCTGTCAAACGAGGGTGTGGTCCAAACGATAGGTGCATTTACCTTTGCCCCTTTCCCCCCCGAAGTCCTTCAAAGCCAGGCCAATCCATTTCTGCTCTGAAATCGAGGACATGAGGGACGGGCTGTCCTGGATCCTGGGCTGTGGAGCACCCCAGGCCCGTAGGACGGCATCAACAGTGGGCTTGTTGGTGCTCCAGGTCTCCTTATCTAATGCCGTCTGTACTCTTGCACGCTGAGGGGCGTTGCCTCTTCTGGCACACCCTGTCCCAGAGCGAGGCGTGAGGAATACTGCAAATCAACCATCTGAGTCAATCGTATATATTTGAACCTCTGTGATGTGAAGTATTGCTGAGCTATGTGTATATATTAGAGCTGTAAATAATGGAGGCAGAGCATCCATTAGCATGACGGGCTTACCGAGGATATGCTGAACTCTCTGCTTAAGCTGAAGCTCCCTCCACCTTTTGTAGTGGGCTCGGTAGTGTGGAAAACCAGCCTGTACACACCGGCGTTTTGAAGGTGGCTCTCCATTTAGGGTTACTGGGAAGGTCCGCTGGAAGGCATCCCATTCCCTGAATGGTAGGCGCTTTGTGGAAATGGACCTACACAGAATGAGAGAGAAACCACCAATAGTTTGTATGTGGAAACTTGTAACGCAGGTTTTCTTGTGCTAGTGGGTAACATAAAAACAAAAAGCATACCTGGCCTGTCCCGAGGTTTCTACTCCTGCTGAGTGTGATGCTGACCCAGCCGCAGGATCCTCAGTGTCGCTGCGCAGGTATCTAACCAAATTAGAAAGGTGAAGCAGTTCTACATCCACCAACAAACGCAGCAACACATGTGTCTGAGTGCTATGACCACACTGGCAAAGTTTTGCCAGTATGGATCCAGTGGTGTGCAGCACTCACCTGGCCCTCAGGCGCCATACATCTCCTCCTGGGTTGGTCAGAGGGACCCCACCTTCTCCCAGGAAGAACCTGCCCCCGTCGTCACTGCCAGCTCTTTGGTTTTGTAAGCACACTGGGCGGATGTTCTTAAAGTAGCACTCCAACAGCTGCAGAGACAAGAGCCATCAATGACAACTATAAATCACCTCCCAGGGTCCACACAGAGCAGGAAGAGAGTCGCTGCTGAGAACAAAGGACTTACTTCTTCTTCCTGGATGGTCATCCTCAAGCTTGCCCTTCGCTCCATCCAGTCCTGCACCTGTGGGTGTGGGACAAAGTGTTGGAGCTCAGGGTGACTTCCATCAACTATCACTTATAATTTACTGTTTTTGTTGGCGGCGCTTACAGAAAGTTCCTGAACAGCACCTGCTGTCAGTCCGTGCTGTAACATCAGGATGGCCTCGCAGTACTGCCTGAACGTTGTCATGGCAACGCTGGGGATGCAATCACCGCCTGCAAGCTTTTGGTGGAAATACTCGATGTCCCTTTTGGCCACGGCGAGGACTTCCTTCTTATCAGAGCTGTTGCAAAGGTGACAGTAAGACAGTGTTCAAAGTGCGTATGTGTCCTGCAGTATGTGTGAGCCAGAGTGGCAACAAGCTCATCAGACCTCTGTGTTGGGAAGGTTTGGGGAGTGTCTGTGATGATAAAGCCACGACTCTGAAGACGACTGCAGAGTTTGGTGCAAGATGTTGCATCCTTGCAAAACTCCTGCAGCTCCGAGAAGCTCCAGAGTCGACCTTCCCTGGAAAACAGCTTCTGGGAGGCTTTAGCTCTGGAAGCTTCTTGCTCCCTCTCCTGTGCTGTGCCGTCTTTCAGGCACACTCTGCTCAGGTGATTCCAAATGGACAGCTGGGGCTTGTTGCACAGCAGGCAGTACACAATGTTTCTATCCATGTTGTTTGGACTGCAAATACAAAGAGAGAGACAAACTCTGCACATCACTTTATAGCACCAGTAGCGTGTCTCGGTATGATGCAAAGCTAGCTATGTCGCTACACTGGACACCGAGCAGTACCTACTTTAAAACTGAACCTTTGTTGATCCTCTGCTGTTTCTCCAAAGCACACAATGTTCTGCACAAAGACATTTAACTTTAGCACATGTATAAAACATGCACGCACACCAGCAGTTCGTTCAGCTAAAAGAAACGCTTCATAGAAACCATTTCTACAACCAGCAAACGCAAAGAAAACAAGCCATGACTAAAACAGCAGTTACGTAAATGAGCAGAAGTTGCTAAACAAACAAAACTGAACCAGAAAGTCTCCAGACATCATGTAACCACTGTTTGACAAACGGTCCTACCGTAGGATGATGTTACGGTGATGTCTGACAAACCATCCCACTTAACCGAAGCTGCAAATTCGATAGTTTTGTGCCAAAAGCAGATGGCATTTTCACTTTAAAATGAACAAACATTCACAAAGGCTTAAAACAATATAGTATCCAAGTTAATAACATGCTAATACTTCCAAGTATGAACACAGAGTAGCGTTAAATCACCCGGTGTTCCAGATTAACTGGTGACGGTGGAACAGATGGTGGATTTTTAAATATTTTGTTGTTAACAGCAACAAGACTGGCGGAGTGTGTCTGAGGGAACCTCACAAATGTCACAGCAACACACTGCAGTGTAACCCCGGCTTACGAAATTAATCTGTTCCCGACGGTTTTTCGTAAATCGAAGCAGCCATCGTGCCTTTTGAGTGCTTAGATGCTGGCTGGAGACGAAGTTCTTGGTGGCGGAGGTGGTGGAGGCTGAAGAAAGCATACGTATGCATGCATACATACATACAGCACCACCACGGGGGAAGCTGGCATAACATTAAGGTGTAAAGTTGTTGATTTTTTAATTCAAAGATTAATCAGGCTTTAAACATCAGGAGGTAGTGCAACAGACACTGAAGTGCACATTAAAGACCAGAGAGAACATTATTTTTATTAACAAAAAGTTTTAATCCACCAACAGCCCTGACATCTAAAACACTACAAGTAAAAAAGAAAGGCAACAAAAAACAATTCAGACATTTTTACACAATTAGTAACACTTCAGCTTTCTTTGTAATGTCTGCTTGTATTTTAAGAAGTATCGCATTTGGGTAAAAACATTACCAATAACTCAAAATTAGAGGAATAAGTGTATATATGTGTCAGCTGTATGCATGCATACATATGCTGCACGTACATGACGTTCTAAACATTAAAACTAAAACTTTTTTTAAACTTAGATAATTAAAAAAAAATCTATTTTATCATTTATTTTTACATTTTTATGTTTTTGAACTAATCACTACTGCTACTTTCATCGCTTTTCCCCCTGTAAGGCACACTTTCACCTGAAGGTTGACTTGTTGCTGGCCTCTTTGTGAAAAATCTATCCAACGACGTCTGTCTCTGTCTACTTTTCAAAATGGATCTGAAGTGGGAGATGCACCAAAATGCTCTATAGCATGAGCGGTAAAGTTCTTTTCAGGGTGATTGTCCTTGATATCAGCCGATGGTATGACGGCCTCCTCCTCGCTAAATTGTTGCTGTACTGATGAGTGCAGCATCGCCTCCAACTCTTGCAGCTCTGCCGTTGACAGCTCCTCTCGATGTTCATGTACAAGGTCGTTTATATCCTCCTCGTCAACCTACAGTCCCAGGGCGGTGCCGAGATTTACGATCTCCTCAACCTTGACTTCAGGTTGAGGTTCCCCCTCAAAGCCTTCAAAATCTCGAGCGGCAACAGCATCAGGCCACAGCTTCCTCCAAGCAGAATTTAGCATTCGACGACTCACCTCCCGCCATGCCAAAGAAATCAACTTGAGGCATGCAACGATGTCGAAATGATATTTCCAAAACTCCCTGAGGCTGAGCTGCGTACTCTCTGTTATGTCCGAACACCGTTTGAACATGTGTTTCGTGTACGGTCTCTTTAAATTAGAGGTCACTTGCTGGTCCATGGGCTGGAGGAGAGGGGTCGTGTTGGGAGGGAGGAAGAGAACCTTGATGAACGAGAACTCCTCCAGGATATCGTCCTCGAGGCCAGAGGGGTGGGCGGGGGCATTATCGATGATCAGCAGGCACTTCATGGGGAGCTCGTTCTCCTCAAGGAACTTCTTGACAGCAGGGCCAAAAACCAAGTTGACCCATTCGACAAAGAACTGTCGGGTCACCCAGGCCTTGGGGTTGGACCTCCACATAACCTCGAGCCTCTCCTTTAAAGTTTTTGTGTTTCTTGAAGGCACGCGGATTTTCTGAGTGGTACACTAGGAGTGGCTTGACCTTATAGTCCCACTGGCATTAGCACACAGGGCGAGGGTGGAGACGGTCCTTCATGGGCTTGTGGCCTGGCATCTTTATTTCCTCCGCGGTGATGTACGTACGCCGCGGCATCTTTTTCCAGAAGAGGCCAGTCTCGTCACAGTTGAATACCTGCTGGGGGATGTAGCCTTCTTGATTTATAAGTTCCTCAAATTTTTAACAAATTCTTCGGCAGCCGTGTGATCGGAACTTGCTGCCTCGCCGTGACGCACAACGGAGTGGTTGCCAGTCCTCTTCTTGAACCGATAAAACCACCCATGCGATGCCCTGAACTCTGGGGAGGTTAGGGGTGCCTCCTGCGAGGACGTCGATGCCGTTGGCTGCTCATTGGAAGCTGCCTTACTTACTAAATCATTATAAATTGAGGACGTCTTCTCGCAAATGACAGTCTCTGTGGGGGTATTGCCAGTCTCTCCCTTGTCTTTAATCCAAACAAGGAGAAGCCTTTACATCTCGTCGTGTATGGGGGTCCTCCTTTTGGACATGATGGTGGTGCCCTTTGAAGGTTTACCTGCTTTGATGACTTCTTTTTGTTTTAGAATTGTTCCTATGGTCGAAGGATTTCGGCCATACTCGCGTGCAATAGCACTAAGTTTCCCACCTCGCTCATATTTATCAATAATTTCTCTCTTTGTTTTCATCGAGAGTACTTTACGCTTCATTTTGCTAGCTGCGTGGTTCAAGTGGAACAGCGAAGCGCAAGTACGGAAGCCAAGGGGTTGTCACATGATTTGGAAGGCATTGTGGGCATTGAAGGCTCAGCCAATCAGAGCCAGCGGATTTCGTTACGCGGGCATTTTTCCGTAACACGGGCAGAAGTATTGCCGTTCAGTGCCTTCGTAACTTGAACTTTTCGTGAAAGTCGGGGCTCCACTGTATTCTGCATTAGCCAAGTCAGCTAGCATTAGCATCCATCAACCTGCAGCCTAAAGCCACAGTGTATACACAATGACCCGCATCCTGATGTGCGAATGACCGAACAACAGCCTGTACTGTGAGGTGCGCCGTGCACATTCATTGTAATGTTTACTAACCTGAGGCAGTGAAGCTGCTGTCAGCCTGGGTAACAAGTAGACGAAAACACAATAATCTTCTTTAAACCGTGAACACAAACGACACACATGCTGTGCTGGGGTTAGCTTCACAACAGGAAGTTCTTTCTGCGAAATTCTTCTTCTGCGCCCCAAAACACTGCTCGGTACCACCATCGCGCTCTGCGCCCTCTAGTGTCCGGATGTAGAATTGCATTTAATGCCTGAAACTCACAATCCAACAGGTTTTTGCAACGTTTTTAAATCACTGTAACTTTTGAACCGTTCGCTCAATAGAAACTAATCCAATTGTTTCTGAAAGCAGAGACTCTGCGCTTTCTCTGCATTTAACTTTAGCGTGAATATGCATGCACAGTTTGTTCACCTGATAGAAAAAGTCACATATAAAATTACCCGAGCTTAGCTTTAAAATAAGTGAGGAATGTGCTTTTCTATCTCCAGTGCACCCAGGAGGCATTTCTGCTGCACACAAAGGTAACTGAATGTCATTTCTTCTTTTCAGGGTGGAAATGTGTCCAGACTCTAACATGGACCCACGGGCCCCACCCTTGGGATTTATGAGGAACAGGGAAAATGATCGGGAGAGAAGCAACAGACTGACTGAAAGAACTGGAACGAGCTCGTATAGAATCAGCTAAACAATATTGTGGATGAACAAATAGAAGCTTAAACACCTCAGACAAAACTATTATAAAACGGCCCCAAAGCTAAAGAATAACAGCACGGAAACTGTGCAAACAGTTAGAAACATTAAAAATCCACCTGCTTATTGCTGCAAACCCAAAGATACAGAAGAATCCTTCTGGTCCTCCTTCATCACTTCCCTGCTCCTCCTCTGCCTCACCTCGTGCTCTCATCCTGGGTTTGCATTGAAAGTATCCCCACCTAATCCCTTATCTATGTAATGCTGAGCTTGCTAAACCTTTTTTATACTTTTTGTTTTATTGGTGACTCCAGAACTCGTGCAGCTGTTAGTGATCACAGCAAGTTTCCCAACCCCAGTTTTAGTTTTCCACTCACCCTTTATTTACAGACAGACATCAGTAACATTGTCAGCTCTGTCTTGCCTGTTGATGGTCTTGTTTTCACATTTTGGGGTTAATCCTTTTAAATAAACTATAAAAAAAATCCATGTGTCAGAGCCTCGTTTGTGCTGATTAGAGTCAAGTTTCTTTATTTGTCACATGCACAGTTATACAAATACAACACGCAGTGAAATCTATCCTGACACGCTCCTGCACTGTGAAGGGGACAGAAGAACATGATGTTATATACATTAAGTATAGCAAATATACTTTGATGTATATATTATATACACTGTAGGTGTTGGAGCTGTTATCGATGAAACACTGTCCTTCTCCCTGCCGTCTCTCTTCATGAGATCCTCCACCGATGGGCCAAAGTCGGCTGTCATTCCCAGAATGGTCCAGGTCTCTATCTTACAATGAAACACAGACCGATCTCTGCTTCCTCCTCTGCCTCCTTCATCCCCTCTGAGGATCCAGAAAAGGCTTCAAAGACTCTACTCCCTGTCAAAATTAGGGCTTAAAAAGTTTTCTCCCCCAATAAAGATTAAACCATAAGCTGGGAGGGCTGGGTTTGTTTGCTCTCACTGGTCTGATCGAGCATCCCTGACGTTTCACACTGGTTACCAGCAGGTGGGAACAGGAGAGAAACAAGGCACAAGATAAACAGCTCCCCACGGGGTCACATGGGACTATTTCACACATGGTGTGTTCAAAAGCACATCATTAACCACGTACATTCTAAACCCTAACCAGCTTCACAACATCATTCACACTATATGAGGGTTAGTGTTGAGGAAAAGACTGCAGAAGCTGGTAATCCACAAGTGCACGGTGCTTCAGGAGACAGGTGGTCAGGAGCTGCTGAAAAGAAAGGTCACCATGGTAGGGACAGTGAGGAAGAACAAGCCTGAACTTCCCCCTCAGCTGGTATCAACCAGAGGAAGGACTCTCATCCAAATGTGCTTTCACTGACACACACACTCTTGCGTCATAAGTTCCCAAGAAGAATAGAAATGTCATCCTGACATCTTGTCGTCCTACACAAAGACGCCGCTGTCAGCACCACAGAGGACAGGAAGCCTCTGATGATCCAGGACTACAACAAGAACAAAGGAGGCGCTGAGAGCCTTGATAAGGTTTCATCCATCATACATTTTATTTTTATTTATGTGAATCATAGCATTTTTTATTGTTATATATAATATATATAATTATATATATTATTTATTATATTATATATATATAGATTCAATATTGTTCCTAATCTCTTATTTATTGTTCTTGTTATTACAGCTTAATGGTACAAACACCTGCAAGTGAATGACAGCACGCACACACACACACACACACACACACACACACACACACACACACACACACACACACGCACACACACGCACACACACACACACACATACAGCACAAATTAGTTCTTAATTAATTAAGTAAGTAAGTAAAAGACAGCAAAGGAGTCGACCAAAAAGTCCACAGGGAACTTCTCCTGGTTTGGCAGCTTGTTGCTCTGAGCTGCTGCTGCTGGCTTTCTGCTGAGCTTCACATCTGAACTGAGCAACCATCTCAGAGATGAAGGTGTTGACCCTCAGCTGAGGTCGAGTGTAGAAAGTCTCTTTACACATGGGACACTGACAGCTCTGATTCATGTCCCAGTGCTGACTGATGCAGGTTTTGCAGAAGTTGTGTCCACATGGTGCAGAGACTGGATCAGTGAACACATCCAGACAGATGGAGCACAGAAACTGATCTTCAGATCGCAGATTGCTGGCAGCAGACATGTCTGCACTCTGAGGGAGAAAGAAGAGAAACATTTGATTCAAAATTCACTTTAAATTTCATTTTACAAAGAGAGAAACAAGCGTCAGTAGTCTGAGGAGCTTGGAGAGAAAAGCGTCTGGACTTCTTTGAGTTTCTTTTCATCACAGAAGCTTCTTCACCTCATCCTCAACATGGACAGAACCAAGGAATGAATACTGCACTTTTGGAAGAACCCCTGATAACACAACACTGAATATGCCACAGTCAGACTGATGGCAAACAATAACACAGAACCTTTTTTGCCCCACTGTATATTCTCTTGCTTCACTATAAAAAGAAGAGACTGTGAGAAGTCTAAATGCCTCCACCTGTGGCCTTACCTGTCTCCCCGGCACCACCCACTGAATAGCCAGGCACTCCTTTTCTACAGTGTTATACCTTCTCTCATGCTACATATGTGAGAGAAAGGCTAATATAGAGCACTGGCTGGGACGAAACGGCCCCTAGCCCTCGAAGTCTGCAGGACAAATGGGAGTGAAAAGTTAGGAGTGGGGAGCAATGGCTCCCCACAGAGAGCTTTCTTCTGCAAAAATGCTGCCTTGAATGGCATGACCCACTCTCCACCCCTGGGGCAGTACACGCATCCCCACGTAATGCCCCAACAGACTACTAAACCCCGGCCAATTCCTGCCCCAAAATTGGGGGATGCAAAAGTCGCAGGCTAACTGCGGCCTTAATTCTATGCATTTTGTCCCTTCCCTTCTCCTTTGTCCTTCCTCTGAATCATGTCCTCTTCCTCCCTCCTTCTCTCTGTTCCTCTTGTTCTTTGTCTGTTGTTAAAGCTGGTGTGAAGTGTTCAGTGTGGAGGTGACTGACATGATGTGAATATCACAGTGACATAACAAATCCAAACCTTCCTTAAAGGATGATGGAAATAAAACCAGACCTGATTTAAATGTGTCAGATCTTTAAGGTGGCCTCCTTGTGCACCTCTGGACCTCCTCCAGTACTGCTGGACTGATTTACTGTTTCTTATAGATTTTTTCTCACTGAAACTGGGAAAAAGTATTTAAAAATGCCATCTCATCAGGTTGTCTGGCAAAACTCATGTTTTTAGTGTAATAAAGTTTTTTCAAGCTGAAATCTGCTGTTCTATATTTGAGTCAGAAAACCATATCCAATAATGATTTCTTACATTAATTCAAGTATTTCTAAGCTAGAGACTCAAGAGACATAAAAATAGAAAGTGTAAGGATGATCAGATGAGCAATGATCATGTCTCAACAGGTTTATTTTGTTCATAGCAGGAGTTGAGGAATCGCAGAACAATGATACATAGTTAATTGTAATAAAATATGGGTCCTTTATTTTATCGTTGCTGTACTTTTTTTGATGGAAACTCCTCATGTTTTGCAAAAACACTGTACATGATGGAGAGAAATTGACATAACTTTTGGATTCAGCACCCTAAAAAACATGAAATTTACCAAACATCTGCCATGCAGCTGATTTTTCACTTCTCTTTGTGAAACTGGACCATGTGATGTTACATGTGTGTCAATATGAGACCAGACTGGATACATCTGATGCTCCTCTGTCTGCTCCTACAGGACGTCTGACGAGTTCCACAGAAAGGAAAAAATAAAAACCCAAATTCCTCTGGTGGTAAAACATGGTGAAGAGGAGCTGGTGGATGAAAAGCAGACCCTCTGCTAGCTTTTTGAGGTTCACACAGTTTAAAGAAGCTTTGATCTTCCTCTGTCAACAGCTGTTACATAATTTCCTTTCAGATCAGAATCAGAAAAGGGTTTTATTGCCAAACATTGAGCAGATTTACAACATTAGGGAATTGCTGTGGTACTTAGTGCGAAACATACTGCAAGACAACACTTTAATCAAAAATTAGTGTCCGAGGTGTCTCTATTGTTGGGGCTGGTGGAGGTATGAAGGCTGCTTGATGGCTCATAAAAAGGGCAGTAAAAGTCGTTGACGGTGTGGGCCAAGAAGAAGTTGTCGGCAGAGTCGTTCTCTGAGATCTGCTGCTGCATCTTGTCAGAGTGCTGGTGTTTAGCAATGTCCACTTCTTTACTGAACCTGTACTTGGCCTCTCTGTCCCTGTCTCTTTTCCAGCCACAGCTGTTTGAGTTTAAGAGTAAACCAGGGTTTGTCATTGTTATAACTCACCCTGGTGCGTGATGGCACGATGCTGTCCTCGCAGAAGTGGATATAGGAGGCGACAGCGTCCATGAACTCATCCTGATCTGTAAACATGTGCCAAGGTCCTCCAGCAACTTGTTGCTCCACAGCTTTTTAGTCCTCATGACAGGTTTGGAGAGCTTCAGCCTCTGTCTGTA